TGTATGTCTTATAATTGGATGTTGGCCACTCTTCAAGATATATTGAAGAATTCAATGAATTATTGTGGGTTAACAATGGACTTATGGACTTCCTGCAGTAATAGTGGGTATCTCAGAATCACATGTTCATGGATCAATTCTTGTTTTGAATTGCAAGAAACCACTTTGGCTATTCGTGAAATAAAACACCCACATACTGGATATGCAATCACTTCTTTATTGAAATCTATTATCCAAGATTAGAACTTAAATATGAAATGTTTTATGATAACAACTGATAACGCCAAAAATATGAAAAAGGTTGTTATGGAAATTGAAGGAGTTGATTGTCTTTCATGTTGTGCACACACTTTACAACTAGTCATAGGAAAAGGGCTATTATCAGTTAAAGTTTTAGTTACATGAGCAAAATGGTTAATACAATTTTTTACATCTCTTAAACAAAGCGAACAGCTTGAAATAGCACAAATTTCTTTAAACCGTGAAGTGTGCAATAATATTAACAATAATCATGAATATCTTAAAGTTATAATGGATATTGCAACAAGGTGGGACTCTACGTATATAGCATGGGTAAAAATTTTAAAATTAAAATCAGCAATTGAAGTAATGCAATTAATAATGAGTCATAGCAAAGACTCTATAGTTAAAAAAGATGCAAGGCGTCTTAAACGAATTATGCTAACATCTGAAGAATGGCAATTAATGAAAGATTTGGTTAAAATTTTACAACCTTTCGCTGATGCTACGAAGATGCTTAGTGGAAGCAAATATACTACAATGTTATATATGTTTCCTGCTATATCATCTCTTAAAAAATTGCTTAATATTACATATAATGCTCAAATTAATATAAATCTTGATGATTCTAATACAGTTTTTGATGATGATCAAGAATTTCAAGAAGAAATTGATCTCATAGATGAACCTGAAGTACTTAATACTGAATTTGAAACAAAAATCAATCAAACTAAAATTAATATTCCACAAGTCTGTAATGGTATGGTTGAAAATATAAAAATTACATTATTTAATGCTTTAAATTACTATTGGGAATATCCAATTCGTGAAGCTCTTCTTGCAACACTCCTTGATCCTAGAAATAAAAAAATGGAATTTGTGACTTATTCTCAAAGACTTGAGGCTGAAGCATATTTAGTGGCTGAGTATAAAGTATATAAAGAGCAAGAATCAATACTGACAAATACAGTACAAATGGATAACCTTGAAGAGGAAGAAAATGTCTTGTTAGCTGTTATGTATGAACCTATTCAAGAATCTGATATTAATAATGAAATTCAAACTTATCTTGCATTGCTGAAAATTCCAAGTACTCTTTGTCCTTTAAAATGGTAGAACGGGCAGCAATTAAATTTTTCTATATTGAGCAAAATAGCTCAAAAATATTTATATATTCCAGCTACATCCACAGCTAGCAAACAACTCTTTAGCAATGCAGGAAATATTATGACTGCCAAGCAAGCTTGTTTAAATGCTGATTTATTTGAATGCATACTATTTCTTAAAAGAAATGTAAATTGCACTGGTGTAATGTTTCCTTAAAATGCTTTAAGAGCATTTATTTTTCAAAAATAATGATGTTATATATGAATTTTAATTAGCAATATCAATAAAATATATACATTCTACTTGCATTAGCTCTTTTTATAATAATTCATATAATAAAACTTTGTTATTTAATGCTTTTACTATAATCTATATATTGACATTATAATAAACTTATTAAAAAAATTTTACCATTGGTTATTCGCTATAAAAGTTTGCTATATGATGTGTTGGTTTTGTTATATATAAAAGGGTATAGAGTCGACTATATGTTAATTCAACGGATTTAGTCAGTTAGTTTATAGCAGATATCCGAAAATTGCATTTATCCGGTGAATAGGCAAAATGGATAGTCAGATATCCACTGGATCCAAGCTCTAGCTTTGAGTTACTAGAATTGTGTCAATACTATATATGAGTAATGCAAAGAGAATATTCTTGCCTGTATGGCAAAGACGCGGAAATTTCTAAAGTCTTGATCGAAATCCACAAATTTGTAAATCGTACAATGTATTTTTATATGCTTAGTATCATAATAGCTTAATGCCTACTACTATGTTTATCCAGTACTTCGTTATGAAAACTACTTCATATGTGAGCAGTGCAATCTCGATAATCTTGATACGTATATGTGATATGAAACTTCCTTATTAATATGACAAATTTCAATAAGAAAGCACTGTTAATGACAAATATGAAAATGGACAAACATTTCGTGATAGACATTGTCAAAATATTAGTATAAATAAGATCAGATAAGATTTCTAGTTATATCTCTTCCATATCTAATAATATACCAATACGACTTTATTAATGATGGTCTGATAGTAAGAAATGAAGCAAAAAAAAAACAAACAAAAGTTTATTAAGATCTATATTTAACGTTCAAGATAAATGCATCAGATTTCATTACAAGTAGTCCTACATGCCTTTTATTGACTTTGCCAATTTTATTATTTAACTAATTTACTTAATGAAAATTATAAATTTTATAATTGTAATTGAAGCTCATGATTCTATTTATGATTTTATGTTTAATTCAGATAATTTACAGTATAGCGAATACTTTTCTGCAGGGAATATATTATTATTTACGTAATCTTTGTATTTAATTTTATTATTTGTATTAATTTTGGCGGGTATTAAAAGCATTTAAAATAAGCTATTACGTTTACTATTGATCTATATTATAGTATTTAATAACCTTTAATCTTGTTATTTATAAAAATTAATCATAAAATTTTCAGACTCTGAAACGATTTCTCTCGTATCAATAAGTTTAGAAATATACATCATGTTCTCGTGTTTTTGTGAGGTAATTGGTAATTTTTTGTGAGGTAATTGGTAATTCTTTGATTGATTTATCAGCTTCTAAAAATTGCTGTTTGATCTCTTTATCTGAATTATCTGAATCAATGCATTGTTTATCTAACTTAACGTTACTATTATTGGCAACGATAAACTTTTTCCATTCTTTGAATTTATTAAATATCCCAACAGCCTTAGTTCTTTTTTTCATATCTGATTTAGCATTATTATCATGAGCAACTATAACATTTTTCCATTTTTCAAGTTTATCAATAATCTCAACAGCCGTAGGTCTGTTTTTCATATCTGAATTAATACATTGTTTGGCTAATTTAACATAACATTTTGGTGTTTTTATAAAAAATTCAGGTCACAACCCATGACAAATCATCGCTACTAATTCAGCATCAAAATTGTAACCATCGAAAGGTCTTCGACCAGTTAATATTTCTATCATAATAATTCCAAAACTG